TTATATCCAAAAATTTAAATAAATTTCTTACCACTTTTCTTATTTTTGATATCGGTAACCAAAGAACGATAAGCAACGCTTAGTTTTAGACCTATTCTCGGTTTGATTTTACACCGTGTATTGTCTGGTTTTATACTTTAAATAGCATCTGCATTAGTTGATTATTATATCTTAGGTCTATCCCTTAAATTGTTACTATTTTATAGAAATCTGATCAAGTTTCATCGAATGACGGGATTTTCACAAATTACGAGCAAATCTTAATGGTTCAAAAAGGTGATCTCAAATACGTGAATTAATTAGTGCTCTCGAAATCAGACATGAAAAAAAAAAATACTTTCTCTGAATAAACATTTTTATTACAGATCTGGATTCTTGATTATGAAAATGTAGCTGCAAACTGGAAAACATGGTCTCACATGCTTAATGCACCGAAAAATTGCTCTTAGTGGTCCAATTTCTTGATGCACTCATGTAACTCTTAGTTTTTACAGTTAAAATTCTAAATTAAATCCGTCGAAAAAAGGCGTGGTCATTCGGAGAAAGTACGTTTGTGTGTGTTTCTGTAAGTTAATATAATAATAAGCAATAAATTAGCATGTTTGGAGGTCACCACTTTGAACCATTGAGATTGGTATTTAGTATGTATGTGTATTGTTTGAACATCAGAACAAAAGAGTGTGAGACAAAGTTTTGAGCAATCAAAAAATTTCCTCAAATTGTAACTAAATGTTCTTCGGTTTTTGATGACATCACCTCAAGTGTGCTGATTCGTAGTTTCATTATTTTCAATTTTCTTTCCTTTTTGAGCAGAAGACACATGTTGAACAATATGTTATCGTTAAATTTTTAAGTAATGTTAATTTGTAGCTGTTTTCTAATAAATATTTCGGATAATAAGCGGCTAGTTCAGATTCGGATTTATTTGAAATACTTTTTTTAATTAACTTCATTTAGGAGTAAATTAAATTTATGAAAATGCATGGATTGATTTTCCTGGCGGACTAAAGGTAAAGCACGAGAAATTTATCATTCGGGAATTTTATTTTCATGTTTTGATGGTTTACCTGAAGAACATTACTCATTAAGTAATATTAATGCATCTTTTTAATTTTTAGGTAAAAAAAGTAAATTCTGAATTATTTGTTATTCCTGGTATTGAGAAATTATGTTTTGATAAATTTATATGTTTGAATTCTCGTAAGAAATGTTATATTATTATAACGAATGAATTATTGTGAAATTAAACAAACATGTAAGCGATACCCTTAGTATATGGAAATATTGATAACACAACAGTGATTTAATATTTTATATGGAAGGGAGAACTAAATAATTTTCGCTTTAAAGTAGTTTAGTTAATTTGGAACACAATAACGTTTCATGTTCTCCTTGAAAAAAATATTAATGAAAAGGTCATTTTAGGTCTCTTTAATCAATGTCAATAAATAAATAAATATAAAATTATTCATTCCATTATTATTCTTGCTTAAATAAAAATGCATCTGAATTTTAATTGAAATTATTTGTTAAATTTTTGATGAACGTTATGCTAGATTTGTAAGCAACTGTTATTCAGCTTTTAAAAATTTGTATTTAATTTTATTAATGAATCGATCAGCAGATATTTTTTTTATAAGTTGTTTTTTTAGATTTATTTGTTATAGAGTAATATTTATCATTTCAACAGTCAATCAATTCAATCGATTCCTGCAATGGATCGATCTATTGGTTATTGAGTAGATCACTTAGTATTACTGTACTAATCCAAATTAATTACTCTTTAAGCCTTAAGTTAATTACAACCTTCAATCAGTTATTTGTAACTATTATTGTATTTATTATTACCAGCTAATATTACACTGAAATATCTTAGACGAAATTATGGAAAGCCTCCAAAAATTAACCGATACAGTTTTGCGAACTCAGTTTGTTCAGTCACATAATCTAAATCAAAAGCGCCACGACCGGAGATTCTTGCTACCTGTAAACTTGACTGAAACCTCTTTTGTTGGAGTACTTTTTGTTTATTTTTTTAAACGAGAGAGCAAGGTAGAATTGCTTTACGAAAAATATTTTTTGAAGTGAAAATCTCCTGTTTCACGTGCTTTAATCTACCACACTGTTTTAAATTGAAAATGTTTTAAATAATTAATTCAGGTATACTGACACAATATGGACAAAAGAAAAGATTTTTTATTGATCGAAAAATATTCACGTATATGAGTATTTAAATGCAAATTATAGTGCACTAGGAGGCCTCACCCCCTGCTCGCTAGCGCTCGCCAAACCCCGGAACTGCTTTCGCAGTTCATTTGATACGTTCTTAACGTCTAGCTTTTGCATACCTTTTTGAATACTGAAGTTCCGAAAACTTTTCACTGTAGAAAATTTTAAACCTGTACATTTCAATATTAATTTGAAATTGCTAACAGTTCACATATTTTGCTTAATCACACTATTCTAAATTTCAGTTGTTGAGAAAAGTAACTGTTGTAAGCTTTGTTTTAACCCCTTGGGGACGGGTGATTCAGAAAAGCATTCGTACAAAATCAGAATCAAGTTGCAATTAAATAAAAAACGGTAACTTAAATGTAGTCGTTACTAATTTGACAGACTTACTTTGCTTTTATTTTAATTATTGTTAGTTTAATCATATATATAATCAATGTTAATTCAAAGTATAACTAAATAGTTTTATTTTGAACAAAGTAATGGTGAATTAAATAAATCAAAAAATTATAACTCCGCCCACAAATAAACTGCTAAAGAAATACTTTGATTACCAGTTTTATCTTCTTACCCTGATTGATACGGTTTTTTGCTGTCACGTATTTGTGACAGTCGGCGCGAAAGGGTTAAAGTCTTTCCCACCACAGGGCTAAAGCCATGTGTTGTAAAACAATATGAAATAGTAGTCTGCCACTGAACTCCGGATGTAAAGCATCGGCTTCGATAATGATAATTTTGTATTTTTAATTCTCTAAAGGGCGCCACCCTAATAATATGGAATTTGTAAAATAAATGTATATATTTTTGATTGTTGATGAAGCCCATCGTTTTGTGTTTTCATCAGTGTTCAGAAGCAGAACAACTATAAGTTTTTTATTTTATCACAAATATAAAAAATGTATAAAAAACAAAGAAAAGAGTGAGAAAATGAGTATAGTCATAGAAAAAGTTAAAATTATGATATAGTATTTGTCAGTTCAAATAAAACTTTTTGTTTAAGTTATTGTTAACAATTCAAATTTCTCCGAGGCAATTCTAAACCTTAATTTTGTTCTAAATGTCAGCATTCAGACACACAACAGAAGTTTAATATGAAGTTGTAAAATGCATATATCTATATATATATATGTATATGGAAAAAAAAAGGATCATAGTAATTATATAAGTAAATATTAAGGTAGTAGTATTGTTAAGTTGAAACACAATATTTTTAGTTTTGATGTCAGCAATACAATTCACTTTTCACAAAAACGATTGTTTCCATTATTAAATTCAGCGTCAAAAATTCAAATTTTTCTAACGCAACTCTTAAACTCTAAATATTATTTTTTTTATGTACACATTTCTAAATGTCAGTATTCAACCACAAAACAACTTGAAGTCCTCAAATTTAGCATGAAGTTGTAAAATGTAATGAAAGAGGGCCATAGCAATAATGAAAGTAGAAGTAAAGTTAGTACTGTAAAATTAAAACAATATTTTTAATCAATGAGCCAAGTTCTTCAAGAAGCAGTTGTTGAAGTAGCTGGATAGAAGTTTTTTTTATTTAAAACTTTTTATAGAATTTCTTTAAAAACACAATTGTTAATCTGGGCATTTGGCGATACAACACTTATAGAATTGAAGGATTTGTTACGTCAAGCGCTCAGGTTGACGTAACAAACAGGTCAGGTTGACGTAAGGCGCTAATTTTGATCTAGTTGCGCTCCTATGTAATTTTGATTTATGTTGTCAAGTTAACTTTCAAAAAATTCTATGGCTGGCAACAGCATTTATATTTTTTAAGTAGTTTAATTTTATTTCTTTTAGAATTCGTTCTTTTTTTAGCGAAATGTTTTTTAACCTAACAGAATTCTTTGCCGACAGTTCTCTGTATATATGAAGAAAATAAAGTAAATATTTAAGCGTTGTGAAAAGAATCTTATTTAGTTGTACAAAGTACTTCTTTAAAAATGAAAACTGTTGCCACCAGCGGAAAAGAAATACAGCCAAAATTTGGGAGCCACTTAAGAGAATTATATATATTAGATTATTGACTCTTTTGATTGCCAAACATTATTCTAAATGTTTCAATTTTAGCACCATTTATAATAATAAAACTGAGACAAGGTGATACCCTTTTTATCACTCACTGTACATGAATTAAATTTATGAGAAAATATCATTCAATCTTTTATAGTTTCTTAATAATTTGCTCACTTGTCGTTAATATTTGCCCAATTGTGCCTCATAATAAGTTAATTGAGGTGCAATAAAAAGTTTTCAATTCTATCTTATTCAATTTTCATTAGCACTGGAAACAAGAATTGGATTATTGACTTATCCACCATTGTAATGTGTATAATCTTCTTCTTCTTTAAAGGCTCTACAGCCTGTTATTGGTCAAGGCCGTCCCAAAAAGTCTTTACCATCTGGTCCTATCCCTAGCAAAGTTTTTCCAATTTTCTTTTGTTTACTACGTGAAAGTCTTTATCCATCAAGTTTCAAGTCAAGACCCCTAATTTGTGGTCTTCCTCGTTTTCTATTTCCAATGGGATTATTAAAAGTGAGCTTTTTAGTGGATTTGTAATATCAGATCGAAACAGATGTGCGATAGTGTATAATATTCTGCTATAATATTATACATTTGAATGAATCGCAGCAGTTTTATACAAACAATAAATAACCAAACACAGATAATTAAAATAACTTATTTATTGACATTACATTATAAACAATCTATTTTTTAAAAATAAGTTCGAAAGAAAAGAAATCACACTAACACAAAATGTACATTAAACAGTTTAATATCTTAATTTATATTCAAATATACATTTTTTACATTCATAAGCACCTGTTTCAAGAATGAGAGTTATAACACAATGACTCCGAAGATTGGTTTCTCTAGAGTAATGACTATCAGCTCTAGCTTTAGAGACTCTCACAAATCTAGTTTCAGAGTACAAGAGATTCTAATAAAAAAATAATATCATTGTCCTGATAGTCTATCTGACACAAAATTTCTTTCAAAAAAAAATTTTTTTTTTAGGCAAATGAAAACTTTCATACAAAATAATGTTTGAAAAATCGTATAGTTTGAATGAAATATCACAAATGAGCAATTACAAAAAAGTTAAAGATCTCACAAAATTTATGATAAAAACAGATAATAGTCCATCATTTCATCATCTCTCAAAGAAATATCTACAATTCATTTGTACACTGATGATATTCGAAATTATACAAAACTTCTGCGGAACGAAAATTCTTAAAACTGTCTTTTCGCTTTGAAGGCAGTGGATTTTTTTTTATATAACTAGCTCATTAACGTGTCATTTAGGAAGCACTTAGACGTCGACCAAAAGCAGACTAACCATGCTCGTACATTCATGTTAATTAAAAAATCTCACTATCACGAAGCTCCATAGAACGTATCCACATAGAGTCAGGAATGTTAGGTGGTGCCATCTAGTATTCGCTGATGACACTTCAGGAGGAGTTGGTGGTTGTTTAGGTATTCTAGTTGGTGATGATGGCGTTGAGAAGTAAATATCTTCAAAACTATCAGTCTGTTCTTCTTCTCCAAAACCACTACCACTTCCACTACCGCTTGATGACCATTCAGAATCTGCAATAAAATAAAAAAAAATCATGGTTATATGATACATTATATAAAGAATAATTTTAACGATTTAAAAAACAGTAATGTTGTTAATTTTGAAATACAATCCTCTTTTTATACCCTCGCATAGTGATTATTACAAATATACTAATTATTATTTTCATTTTGTATTTAAAAACTTTTTCCCCCTTCTGTCGTTATGTTCATAGTTTGAATTTAAAATTGAAAGTAAAGTGTACTTAGAACTTAAATAATAACTATAAATAGTACAGTGGAACCTGTCTAAATTGACCACCCTCGGGACCAAGTCAAATGGTCGCTATATAGAAGTGGTCACTTTATGAAGACTATTTAAAAAGGACTCTTTAAGTAAAACTTATAGAAAATGGTCACCTTACTCAGGTGATCACTTTACCCAGGTGGTCACTTTTACAGGTTCCACTGTATTTATATTGTTCTCTTGATAATACAATATTTATTAGAATAGCAAAATACTTATTAGATATTTCAATATTTATTAGAATAGCAAGAAGGTCTTTGAATGGTTTTAAAATTGAAAATAGAGTGTGAAAAAAAGGATAAATTTTTTTTAATTAATTCACTTTAAAAATGCTATTCAATTCCAAGATTATTACAAAGGTAGTAGAAAATGGTAAGATGATGAACACTGTTAAAGCCACTGATAATTATCTACTACAATTTGCTACATAAAATATTTAAAACAAAAATAACAGAATGCTTCCTTAATCCGCTTATCACAAAAAATTTCATTCCTTATATAGAACTGCCAACTATGCTTTTTTCAAAATATTTGGTAAGTAAATCAGAAAATTAAAGCTCTCAGAATTTTTGGTAGTTTTTCAACAGTTTAAAAGCCTCACCACCATGAGAGAGTTAGAACAGCGTTGCATATGAGCATTTTTTAATCATTAACTGGAGTAAGGAATAACTTAAAATTGAATTAGCAAAACTAAGAAACATAAATTAAAACAAAAGTTAACTACCACGAGAAGAAATTTTACCAAAAAACTCAATAAAGATCTGCAGTTTTAATTATAGAGTCTTTTTTTCATAAATATAAAAATTGGTAACTTAATTTTTTTTCTGTTACATTTTCTGGGTGAAAAATATATAAACTTTCATCAATATCATAGAAATTATAAGTAATTTTTCTTTACAAAGGAAATAATTTTGATCAGATATTATGTGCATTTGCATTATTTTAAAAAAATTGTAGTCACATAAGTAACTATAAAGTTACTCCCTACTACTTATTTTAAAACTCAACTTAAAAATATGTTAAATGGGGAATATTTAATTGCTATAATCAAAATTTACATTGTATTTCAATAGCTAGAAAGGCTACATGTTTCGTTTATTGGTGCAAATGAAGATCTTAGTGAAGAAACATAACAAGTCACTCTTTGTTAAAGTAAAATAATGAAGAGTTGAAAGAAATTTTTTTTTATTTGATTTATTCGCACCTAGTTACAATTGAGGACTCTAGTAAAGAAACATGTTAAGTGATATTTCGAAAAAAAGAACTTGACTTCGTTGTTTTCAGATTGCGCAAAATGTACACATTTTTCTTGGTTTGGAGGATTATATTACAGGAAAGAACATTTATAATTAAAGAACAAGTGATATTTTGAAGGGAGGATTTAAATTACGTCGTTTTTAAAGTGAAAATCAATCACATAATTTGTTTATTAGTTACAACTGAAGAGTTTAAAGAAACATGTAAAATGATATTTCGGAAGAAAAAATAATCTTATATAATACTGTTTTTAGAATGCAAAATATTTAGATATTTCATTTATTACAAATTAAGGGATATAAGGATTAAATAGAAGGAACATGTCTAAGGAGAGGAACATATTAAGTGTTATCTAAAAAAGAGAATTTAAATTAGGTAATTTCCAAAATGAACACAAAAAAAAATCATATTTGCTCAATTGTTGCTATAATTGAAAAGTTAGTTCAATGAAGAAACAACTCAAGTAATATTTTTAAACTTAAAATTTTCAAGTTTAAGTGCAATAATTAATGGAAGAAAAGGAATATTAGTTTAAAATGCAAATTCTTTGAATAAGGCGGTTTTTTAGCTTAAAATATTTTATTAAACAGCTATTATACACATTCATAAAATTATCCCGCAACGTAATCTTTCCCACTAAATTCTTGATTTGCAAAATATAAAACAATTAAATTAATACTAAAAGAGTTTTAAAAAAATTTAGACCGTAACTGTAACAAAATGAAAAAAAAAATGGATTTATGCTATATATAAATTTATACGAACCAGAATCTTGCCATTCTACGTCGAGTCCATTGTAGGCATGGGTGAGCTTAGTAGTGATGAGTTTTAGAGTTAAAATCTGTTGGTTGATGACTGAATTTTGGCGCGAAACATCAAAATTTACTTCAGGATTCTTAGTTTGGTTGATTAGTCCTTCTCCAATTAAATCCCCGTCATACCTATTAAAGAAATAAGTCATGAGAAATACACATTCACACAGCTAAACATACAATAAAATAAGTAAAATCTTCGGAGCAAGAAAGTCGGCGAAACGAAATCGGCGGATAGTCAGAAAGAAGGGGAAATTTAATTGAATATTGTTTTAAAGGTACAGACATAAACAGTAAAATGGATCAAGATAGATAGACTAACGTATTTTCGGTGACTATCAGAGTACAACGACAACTGTCACGTCAATGTTACAAACACTGTTTCATAAGATCATTATGAAACAGTGTTTGTAACGTTGACTTAACAGTGTTTGAAGCGTTTGCTTTTTCAACGGGACATGGTGAGGTAGATCCATCTATCTGATCATATTTTCAGAGATGAATACAGTATATAGGGCAATTATATTATGCAGTAGATCCATCTCTGAAAATAATATTTAAAGACTGTCGTGTCTGTGTGTGAAGCAGGTGTTTCATTGTCTGTCTGTTGGAAATTATTTTTATTATTTTGACGTTATGTTATCTTTATTAATGCAATTTCGTCCATGCTGGGAATTTAAAACGGGACACGTTCGTCTAAAGTAAAGTGAGTTTCTCTAATTTGTTATTTCTATTTGAAATGACATTCTGAAACTCAAACCCATGGATGAGCTAAAAACCATCTCAAACCAAACCTAACAGCCAAAGTCGATTTAGCACATACTTGTCTTTAAACTTTTAATGTTTGTCAGGCGAGCATATTTTTTTTTACTTTGTGAAAGATATCTTATAAAAACAACTATATTTTATTTTTATGAAATAATATGCATACCAAAATGCGGATACACTACAATGCAGCTTAAGACACTTCTTGATATTTCCCTTTTTAAAATTTGTATAGGTTTCAAATTTTTTTTTTCTTCGTATTTTGCATAAAAAAATGTAGTTTTAAAACTTTTAAAGAATCTTATCCTACATTGCAGAAAATTTAATTATTCATAGCCTCATAAAAGAAAGCAACACGAAACTGAATGAATATAGTTTCTAAAATCTCGATGGTACAAGTTTTAAAAAATATGGTTTCACCTTGAAAGATCCGAATGTCTTGGACATTTCTCTAAGCCACCTATCCATTCAGTTTTAGACCTATAAAACCAAAGAAGAAACTTACTTGGCTTTGTTAAGACCATTCCAACATTCTTCTTGGGGCAAGACTTTTTTATCACCAGCAACTTGAGGATTATTGCACATGAAGCCAGAAAGTTGAAGCCAGAAATTTTTTGTCTTCTTAATTTTCTTCTTAATACTTTGAACAAGCCGATCGATGCTCGTCCCAGCAGCTGTAGTTGGACGGACAGCGTTCTCTCGGTGACCGAATTTCAAAGTCTCAAAATTCAGTTCATGGCGGGCATCACGTTTACCCAATCGAGGTTTTCCACAATGTTTGAAAAGCTGGAAAGATAGTAAAGCAACTTATTAAGACGTTAAGGCATTATAAAGCACAGAAATAAACAAAAATACTAGCAAACAGAAAAAAATACTAGCAAGGTTAAAACAGAAAGTAGCAATTAAACGTTATAATATTTTGTTAGGATTTTGAATAGCAATTTCTTTTACATGTTAGATTTATTACAACCGTGAGAAGAGCGGTTCCCAATTTTTTTTGCCCATGGAACCCTAAATAATTCTTTTTTTTCTGAGCCCTTAGACTTCATGAAAAAATTTCATTAGCAATCGTGAGTATGTTAATAAAAGAAGGAATATTAATTATTTTGAAAATATTTAGTGAATGTAAGAACTAACTAACTTAGTCATCTTGGATTTTAGGTTTAATTTTTGAGTTACGTTGCCTTGACACACATTCCTTAGTACTTAACAAACTTTTGATGAATACTTAAAAAAACTTTTGATGACATATTATTATTCGACAGCACGATACCTTTTAAAACTAATCTATGAATTCCTCCTCCAAACTTTAAAGCAATAAAATATGCAATTTGTGGTTTTGAATCAGCAATTTCAAAAAATCTAAAAGTTAGCAAACACATTTGTTAACTTTCATATATATATTTTTTTTTAAAATTTAATTCTACTGTTTTAAACTGACAAAAATCAATTTGGATGATGCTAAAAAATTCTCTAAACGTTGATTGTACAAAATTTTCTCAATTCTCAACGTCAATTGTACATTTAACCTGATGAAAACCGATTAGCATAATGCTAAAAAAAATTTTTAACGTTAATTGCAAAAAACATACTTATCAAAAATCTAAAAAAAACAAGTATGTATTTAACTACCTTTCAAAAACTGCTGCTTGCAGTATTGTACAGGTATAATTTTGTAAGAAAAAAAGAACAGATCATCTAAAAAACCACACGCTTTACAACTTCAATTCTGTTTGAGCGACGGCCTTGCATTTTAATTGTATCGAAAAATATTGCCGTATGAAATAAATATCAACCATCAGTTTATTTTATGAAAATTAAATAATGAAGAGTAAAAAAGCATATTTAGTACTTTTCTCTTCTACCACTCCTTCGACAGTTGAGTTCAGTCGAGAAGAAAGAGACCCCTAAATGTTCAGCAATGTTCAATTCATTGCAGAAAACCTCCTTAAAAATTTACAAGTAAGAACTTTACCTCTTGAGAAACAGCTTGTCCATTCTCTTGAAAGTTCATGATGGCGTCGGATATTTTAATATCAATTGGATCTACTACTGATTCAATATTGAAGGAACTTTCTAACCTCGAGGCTAGCATCATCATGGCATCTGCAAAACAAATCAATTTAGATTAACAACCTTAGTAAATTTTATGCGTGTGACGTCACAAGTTATTGTACATATTCTTAATGCTTTGGAAGTTGTATTTACTTTTTTCAGAATGGCAACCGAAGTTGAGTTCTAGTTACGATTCAAATAAAAAATATGAAAATGGTGAGAATTAATGCATTGTGTGAAGTTATTTTCTGTTAGAAATACTGTAAAATAAGAGCAATTTATAGAGCTAGATAAATTTTATGAATAAGTAAAATGAGTACGACTGGTTGAAACGATATGCAGGGAGATACTATCTATAACATCGAATAGGTTTTGTTTTAAATTTCTATGAGATAAACACAATGGAAACTGATACACGCAAGGGTTCACAATATAAATTTATTCGTGTCTTAGGAGAAAAACTTCTTAAATGTATATAGGATTAAGCAATTCACTAAATGATAGTGAACAATCAACGATCTTTGTTGCTGAGGTATAAAAATAATAAATAATTGAAACCATTTTTCTTTTATTTCTAAGAAAACCACGAATTATTCCAGCTTTAATTATAGACCAATAATAAAATAACATGTAAGTATTAAAAAGAGAAAAAGTGAATGCTGATAATAAGGCACGAAGATTTTTTTTTTCCTTTCCTTTCCTTATTTAAGAATTATAAAGCTACCCTTCAGTCATTTATCACTACATAATAATTATTAAGGCGACTTAGCATTTGCCTTATCATCATCAGCATGAATAGTATTTTGTGTTGCCATCAATCGCATCATAAAAACGGCCATTACAAATAGCTCTTTTGCTTCGAAACAAAGGATATTAAAAGTGATACAGCCTGACGATCTTTTTACTTAGCAAGTGGACTAATGACAGATTTACAACTTAAGTTCGCCGAATCTCTCGGCATCTTGAACTCAGGGGTCAAGCGCCAGCGGACGACCGACGGCAAACGATCGACTTTAGAGATACTTTTTATCGTTTGGAGCCAAGACCACGGAATTAGACATTTATTCTTTTCATTGAGATTCTTTTCGCCATTGGAATCCGGATACGGTCACGCGTGTTTTCTATCCAAATAAAGGCAGTTATTTTTATTTTCTTTTGGGAAGAATTTTATTTATCGTCTGATGTGGAGTTTGAAATGAAATGAAATCAATTAGAAACAGAAATTAAAGAAAAAGGAAGAATGTTTTATGCTAGTTCTACGGATGTAAGTTTATTAAATTATATAAATACAAATTATTTTAATACAGAATAAATTATTTGTTTATTAAACAAAAAGTAGTTAAAAAATATTTTATTTTATAACCATCTGAAGAACAGCTAACCTAAATTTCAACTCCGTAACCTTGTAATTTTGAACCAATCCAGAGGACAAGGGAACTCCTGGATCAAGTGTTGGGAGTAAATTGCCTTCTTGGAGAACTTTTTGGTGGACCTAACCCGCTTTTGCGTTACGTGGTGAGGAACTGCAAGGGGAACTCTAATCTATGATTTGTCTACCGTTGTTGATATTTAACGTCAGCAGTGTAGTCGTTGCGAAACGGGTGCGCAATTCGTATAGACCAACCATCGCTGGGGTTAGAACCCGGTCACCTTATTGGGAGGCGATCGCTCTATTACCTGAGCCACCACAGCTCATTCTGAAATATTTTATTTTATAACCGTCGTTGAACAGCCGACCCAATTTTATAGGTTTAAAACTACTAATGTTCAACTCCGTAGCCTTGTAATTTTGAACCCAATCCAGGAGACAAGGGAACTCCTAGATCGAATATTAGGAGAAATTTGCCTTCGTGGAGACCACGAGAACCTCCCGCTCCAAAAAAAATATGTACATATAATAATAGGGTACATATAAAAAATCGTTTTTCATTTAAAAATAAAATATTAATAAAGATTTCGCCCTTAATTTTTTAATTAAGAAAAAAATTCAAATGCAACGATACGAAACTCTTTCAACAAAGCATTTTTGCGTATTTTATTAACTTTCAACAGCCTCAAAACATTTTAACTAAGCAATAAACGCCATATAGTAAAATATTAAAATGCAAAAAATGTCTCCTAGTCGATAATATCTCATTCATATCACAAATTACAAAAAAAAAGAAGAAAAAAACGATTTTTATTTATTATTTGTTTGTTTTTTTAACATGAAAACTCAATGAAAAAAAAGAAAGGAGAGTAGAGTTTCAATTGCACAAAAAGCAATGTGTAAGCGGGGAAAAAAAAAATCAGTACAAAAATAAAACCTAAACTCTCCTTGTTAAATCTCTAATAAATTTGACATATCCCTCAGACTCCTATATTATTATTACTCAGAGTTTTTTTAAATTTTTTTTATGAGATTTAATGTCACTTGGATTTTCATCCAAAATAAATTATTGAATTTGAATTTCATAAAATATTCACAAACTGATATGAAAAGATATTTTCACTTTCACATGGAATCTCGTACGTTAATTCTGAGCAGAGCAGTTACCACAAAACAACATAGAATCGCCAAAAGGGAATATGCCGAATGCTACAGAAATCTCGCACGTTTACGTACGTAAATTTAGCTCTACTAAAGAACATCAGTTGTTCACAGAGCTTTAGCAGAACTTAGTACGTGGACGTGCAAGATGGCATGTGAAAGTAAATATTTCTATAATCACAACCTTTCTGTTTATTTTTGGTAGATAACGATATTGTTACACAAATCACAAAAAATAAACAGAATTTTTTTTAAATCTTAAACATGAAAACTCAATAAAAAAAGCAAGGCAAGTAGAGAGTTTCACTTGCACAAATAGCAATGTGCAAGTGAAAAAAAATCTGTACAAAAATAAAACCTAAACGCTACTTGTTAAATCTCCAATAAATTTGACATGCCCCTCAGACTCCTATATTTCAATTACCCAGCGTGTTCAGAGTCGCTAAATTATTTTTGTCGACGGTTGCTTCGTTTTTTTTTTTTTTTTTTTTTTTTTTTTTTTTCTTCTTTGCCAATGCCGTTACGCGCGTGTCCGAATCTTGATTAAAAGGACAACTTTACGGTTCAGGGTGGCGCCAAATGAAATCTTATTTATCTAATTTTTCTTCTTTTTTTTTGCCATGCCTCTCGATGCTGTTATTCTTTTCTAAGAGCGATATCTTCTCATTATTTCCTTCACACCCGAGTGTCAATCTTTTTCTGTTCGGGACTAAGTTCTGGAAATAGAGAGAGATGTGTCACCACTATGGTTGCCGATAGAATAACAAGACGAAATCGTAAAACAAGCTACTTATTGAAAAACAAGTGCCTCTTCCAGGAACAGTGACACCAAAAAAGTGTTCCCAGTATGAGATGTAAAGGTCCCTAGTGTGTCGTTGACGGTTGTGTAAAAATTAAAGCAAAATGAAGCGCGTAATTTAAAGACGTCGTGGGTTTCGTTGTTAACAAATGTCATCTCTTAAATCATCGACTCTCATAAAAAAGAAAATATCTGGAATTAGAAACATGGAACTAATTAATCTTTATGCTCTGTTGAATTAAGTTAGCCAGAGGTGACATTAATTTGGCCATAACATGGTTCAAAATAAAGTGAATGACATTTAAAAAAGAAAAGAAAAAAAGAAAGATCGAAGACACAAATGTTTAAGTAACTTTTAAATAGTTGTCATTCAACAATCGATATCATTTGCACCTAACAAAGAATAATACTCAAAACAAGCTTGGAATAATTTGTGACTTAAGAACATTTTGAGTAAAAAAAAATAATACTTTTCGTGCTTAAAAAATTAGCCACAAAAAAAAAGTGTAAAAGGCACAAATGTTTAAGTAACTTCTAAATAGTTGTCATGCAACAATTGATATCATTTACCCCAACAAATAACACTCGAAACAAGCTTGGAATAATTTATGACTCATAAGAAAAGTTAACATTTGTTAGAAAAATTATAAGCTAATATTTGTTTAAGATTGTGATTATTTAAGAATATTGCAAGTAAAAAAGAAAAAAAATTACTTTTCTTGCTTTAAAAATTAGCCAAAAACAAAAATTGTGAAAGATTTTCCCAGTAAACAAAAGTGTAAGTAACTTATAAATAGTTGTCATTCAACAATTTATATCATTTACCCCAACAAAGAATAAGACTCGAAACAAGCTTGTAATAATTAATGACTTATAAGAAAAGTTAACATTCGTTATTAGAAAAATTATAAGAGTATGATTGTTTAAGAATATTGTAAGTAAAAATAAATAAATTTACTTTTCGTGCTTTAAAAATTAGGAAAAAAAAAGTTTTTTTAAACTATATTTTGACCGTATTTAGGGCATTTGAGAAATTGTTCTAAAAGTATAAGAGTTCTAAAAATATAGGTTTAAAAAAATCATAAGAATGAGTAACACAGTACTTTTTTTGCATTAATACACAATGAATGAAAAAAAATATATTTTAATGACATTTGAGAGCATTGCCGTAGAAGCAATAAATTTAATTTTGTATAAGTGAGAAATTGCAATGTCTCTGCATTGACATATAATGAATGAAAAAAAAGCATATTTTTTCTGCATACACATTTGGGAAAGTTGAATACATCGCCCTAAACGTGTGAGTTAAAATTTATATAAACAAGAAACAGATGCGCTTTTTGAGTTAGTACGCAATAAATAAAATAAAAAAATAATAAACATGAATGTTTGGATGGCATTACCTAGCATATTCGAGTTATGCACCTACGAGTATGAAAAACGCAGTTTTCAGCGAACCTCATTTAAGGATAACAGGATAGGATAAGGATAACAGATAAGGTTTTTTTTTATTCCTAAAATTTCTAGACTTACTTTTGGAACAATATTCTTAAACAATCATACACTTAAAGTAAGTAAAAATAAGAAGTAATAATTTTTTTGAAAATTTTAAAATGTTGTTTTCCTTTCAAAAAAAAGTAAAGAATTTGAACTGATCTGGACAAAACACAAATAAGTAATTCAAATTAGAATGCAACATGACTCATGTGCATTGGTGATGAATTGGGTGACAAAATGGTAGGCACTTCAAGCAACAACAAAAAATTGACATTCAACAATTTATACTCAAGAAAAGAACTAAATGAGCGTACTTATATAATTATTCCATTCCTGGTGTATTTCTGCGTGATATGCTAGGCAACCCCTCATGACATTAAGGCAGTAGTGGGAGCAGGGCCTCACATCAGGCAAACCACTACAGTGAGGGCAGTATGTCATCTTCATGAGGGCGCGGCTGCATTCCGGGGTTGGACCTACCTGCAATCATAATTATAAATGGATTAAAAAATGACAGTGACATAGATTAGTCCAGATGTGCAACATTTGGTTCCCATGAAAATTTCATATTTATAACAAATGATAGTTGCTGAAATAAAACATTTTAATAATTGATGTCGTCTACTCTTAAATGTAAAAAAAATATAAATAAATAAAATAGAAATTAAATTCGTATTTTCTAAAAAGAAACATGCCAATAGTTATTTTTAAGTTACATAATAAAATACTAATCAATAAAATTTAATTAAAAATAATTTAATAAAAATAATTAACTAAAAAAATTTATTAAAAATAATTAATTAAAAATAATTAATTAAAAATAATCAATTAAAAATAATTAATTAAAAAATAATTAATTAAAATTATATATTATTAAAAACAATTCTATTTAAAAAAATTTTTATTGTTATTATTATTTACTGTTAATGTTGATATTATATATTTTTTCACAATAATATCTATATATTTTTTCACAATAATGTGTTTTTATTTTTTCACACTAATGTGTATTACGATATTGAGTCAAGAAGAAACAATATCTAACTCTATTTGAATCAATGGGTTTGTGGACCAACATGGACCTTTTGGAGGCCGCTGAAAATTTGAGAATACTTTTTAACGGTTAGTGGTTGTTAAAAGTTTAACGGTGTGACATCATTATTCTTCATTTAATTATAAGTGTTTTTCAATATTTTAAATATTTCTTTCAGAAAATTAAACTGCTATAAAAAAGTTAAAATCTTAAAGAATAATATAGTACAATTCACGATTTTCACAAACTTAGTGAACCTTAACACTGAGTGTGGCTGATCGTTCTATTTTAAATGCGTTAATCAAATTCTCAATATCAAAATGTATATTTTACATGAAATTTTATTTTATGTAGAAGTGACAAAAAATATTGTCGGTGCAGCGTTAGAAAATATTGTGAATTAAAATGAAAAGTTTGTTTCCAAAACAATCGAATTCTACACAAAATTGTTTATTTATAATAGAAAGAAAAGGAATAAATATCTCCAATGGTCTCGTACTTGGCATACAAGGATTAAATATATTCAGGTCTTCTTATTCTGGTGGCCAAAGTCTCGTAAAATGAAAACTGAATAATTTTACTGTTTGTTTCCAAACGGCATCACAGAACAGTTTGGAGTGGGCTCCAAAGGCTCCGTGTCGTAGAACTGACTCAATGAAGACAAGAACAGGTCATCAATCCATAAGAAATCTATTGTAGATAACCTTTTTTCGAACTCATACATTTATTTCGATTATTAAGTTTAAATGTGGATCCAGGCACGGTGAAAAAATGTTTCTTTAAGTTGTTACATCTTTTCACATTTTTTAAACACTTGAGAGACTCTGTGATTTGATATACAAACCAAACAAATCAATAGTATTGTGAAACAATATTCGAAATTGGAAGAAAAAAATCTAAATTTTTAAGCAGGTAATTGGTAACAGACTTCTTATTTTCAATTATAATTCTTTCTTCTCCTTCTTTTTNTTTTTTTTTTTTTTTTTTTTTTTTTTTTTTTTTTTTTTTTTTTTTTGAATAAAATAAGAAGCATCTTGTTTGTATGATGTACATTAAAATCCTAATTTTCCTTTTTGTATCATAAATGTTAAATATTTAATGTACCATTTGTTCCGCTCTAATTAAGATTCAATTTTATAATTTGTCCTCTCTGTTATATTTTGAACACAGAGAGAAAATAATGGCTTATGAAAACTTAATTACATTGAGTTCAAAATCTAAATTCGACGAGTTAAATATGTTTTAATAAATACCGAACTAAAAACTATAATAAATTCTCGAAAAGAAATACATTAGTTTTTTTTTTTTTTTTTTTTTTTTTTTTTTNTTTTTTTTTTTTTTTTTTTTTTTTTTTTTTTTTTTTTTTTTTTTTGGAGGGGGACTATCTTAAATTCCTAACAGCACAGAATATAAATAGTGACAAATAAAAGAATAACATACTTTATGAGAATTGATCAATATTAATATTTGATGATAACAAGTCACAGAAATCTCCGCTTAGTAGAATTATAAACGAAGTTGCAAAAGCTTTTGCCAACGAACATTCCATACATATTTAATATTTTCAATTGAAATTATATGTAAAGCGGGATATATTTTCGAACAAATGCTTGCATATTAAAATTGAATACGAAATAGAACAATATAAATACATAAAATGTCAAAAGGAAATTTTTTTCGTAAAAAGACAATTTGCGAAACATTAATATTATATTTGTTAAAAAAAACAATGCAAAAAAATATTCCCTTTTCAGATTGCAGCGTCCTCTAGGGGTAGTCTGTTACATTCATCAAGGTTGTCAAATGCATGCACGAAAGTGCGAGGAATAAAATAAATTAGATTAAGGTTTTAAGTGGTGAAACGCGACAGCAAGGGAGTAAGCACCGATAGTGCTGAAATTTTTTTTTTCACTTTTTTTCTTTTCTGCAGTGGCTTTGTTATTGAAACAAACAGTTTACTTAAACAGTCAGTTTTCATTTTACAAAAGCATTTCGAGGAAAAGGGCTGAATGCATTTGGGTTAAACTTGATTTTACAATCAATATTCTAAAGTGTGTTTTTTTTTGTGGTTTTAAATATTTTAAGTTTTTTTTTTATTACTTAAATATTTATAAAGTGTTTCAGTTCTTGAAGCATTTGATAGAATTTCTCCAGACAAAACATCACATCGAAATAACAGTAAACAAAATGGCGTATATTATTTAAACATCATCAAAACTTGCCTAATTGCAAAATATCAAGTCCACACAATATTGTTTACAAAAGATATTTTTGTATTTAATTTTGTCCGTCAACGCTTTAGTTTAGTTTAGTTTAGTTTGTTGCTAAACGAAATTTTAATAGATTTTTTTTTAAATGAATGTTAAAAACACAGTTATTCTAAAAAATCAGTGCATCTGTCATTTTCATATCATTTTTTTTAAATTTGATGTTGCAAGTTTAAATTCATTCTCCGAAATTATTTGGGTATAAATACAAATTGTTCATTATCAATATTTTTAATCCACTCGAAAAAATTTGGAGCAGTGAGATTAACAAAAATATAGGAGAGAAATAGGAAGGACTTTTCTGAACACACTTAATCATTAAGAATTTTTTTTTTTTTTTAATTTTGAAAAACAAATAGTTATAGTAATTATTTTTAAAAAAATACAAAGACATGCTTAAAAAAATTATTTATTTTGATACTTCTAATATTCTAATAACTAACTTCTAGTCTAAGAATTAATTTTTTTTAATAAAGAAAAAGAATGATCTAATTCCGTATTTTAGCCATTGCGAACATCTTTTGATGTTTAGTAACAATCTTAATAGTTTTATTGACAATCCGGCTAGAAATCTTATGATTTTCGCCAAGGAAAACAATGGAAAGGACAAATTTGACAAGTATTTATTTATACATTAAGTGTTTTATTCAGTAGTTGCTAACAAAGCTTTCTTTATCACAAAGCTGGCGCCAAGTGCGTTCTTAATCCCATCTTGGCTACGAAATTTTTAGCATTTTAAAAGTGACACTGTTAAGTCTTTTTTATCTATATTTTCCACAAGAAGTTGCGACTGTCACTCATTGAACAAATACCTCTATTTTTAGCCAAGATCGGAATTAAAATTTTATGTGGATGCTTGACGGTTAGTAACAGTTGGAAAACAGTCATTTACATTTAAAGAATTTTCTTAACTGTAACTTTAATTCGAATTTTTACTAGAAAAAGCTTTTGTTAGGGTTGTTTTTCTTACAAGAAGAGATTATATTCTCTCCATATTAAGAAGACTCTATTCTCGCCATCTTGGATTTTAGGTTACATTTTTAATTTGGATTTCCTTGATTTTTTTTGTACTCTACAAACTTTTGATGATGTAGTATTATCGGATAGCAAAATATCTATCAAAAATGGTAAAAAAAAAGAAGGGGGGGTCGCTTTATTAGTTTAAGAAAAATAGCGTTTGATAATTTTTAGAACTTCTATGGAATTTTCCTCAAAAGCAATAAAATGATGCTATTTGTGGTCCTTTCAAAAGCTGCTTTTTTTTTCATAATTCATACTTTATTGGCAACATGCAACAATTGTTATTTAATTCATGTCTTCAAATTATTATCAATAAATAAGATTAATAACAATTTTTTCCACATCATTAATTAGAACAAATGGAATATGTAAGATCAAGACCGCTAAAAACTGTAGAAAAAAAGAGATGAAAATAATTTTTAATAAATCAGCCATTGTTAAATAAGATCAGAAATTGTGACAAGTCGGGTAGCTGAAAATCTCCAGCACGTCAACGGGTGTAGCAAATTTTTAAAGCATCAACAGATTAGTTCCTAGTTTTTTTTTTTTTTTTTTTAAAGCAAACAAATAAATTTTGATGAATAATGAAGAACCGAGACTAATTTTTGAAACATCTCTAAATATTTGCGGTGTTTTCTCAATATAGCTTTTAGTAAAAATTAAAAAGCTAAATTGAAAGAACACTGCAAAGCACAAAAAGTAAAGACTTTTACCTATGTTAGATTAAACTTAATTTTTTCAAAACGATCCTCCACCTGAGTTAAGGTAGCAGACAAATTTGGATTTATAAGGATTGTACTGCTGATTCACTCAGTAAATTCTGCTACCAGGATGACAAACAAGATCAGCAGTTGTGTCAAATAAGTTCAGCTATTGCAGAGATGCCAACTGCTCCGGACAAGCCAAAATAATTTTAAAAAAACGGTAACTAACTACAAACTAAATTTTGCAAATATTTGACTATTTTTACATGCGTTTTTAAAGGTATAGCATGATATAACTACTATAAAGTGGTGAATTATATAAGCCTACGAATTATTTAGAAATAGAGGTGGATAAAAATCTACTAAATTGAATTCATTAAACCAAGAATTGATAAACTACCACTTTAAAATATTTATTTGCTGTTGCAAGTTGGCATATCTGCTATTGTGTCAAAT